GCCCAGGGATTCTATGAAACTCAAGGGCTCAGGGGACTGGGGGCAAAGTGCATGACTGGAGAAGAGAAATGCAGCTGCAGAGGAAGGGCAAGGCCAGGTCGGATGGAGAACCTGGATTCTATTTGATAGGCAATGGAGAACCACTCAACGCTGTCTTCCCTGCCCATTAAAACAAACCAAATAAAAATCCCAATTATTTAATATCCCTTAGGGAATATTTAATTTGTTCCTAGCTGCAAACCGGAGAGTCTTTATTAAGGTTGATGTAGCCCATTTTAAGAGATGGGGTAGAGTAGGCTGCAATCTTCGTTGAGGGTAGAGAGGCATTCCAAGGCATTGGAGGACCAGCTCCCTCCTTTCCCCTCCTAGGTAGTTTGGCTTGAAGCAGCAGTTCCCGGTTCCCATGTCTGCCCGACCCGCTTCCCGTCACTCCAGCCTTTCTTCCCCAACCTTTCCTTCCCAGTGATTTTGGCAGAGATGAACAAAACTCATATCCAAGAACATTCTACAGCTACCTTCCTTTTCATTGTCTTCAAAATATACTTCAAAACACACTGAAGACACCACATTGGGCATCAGCCCATGCTGTGCTGTGTGCTACAAACATGAACTGGGGCTGGTAGTTTTAATAACATTCTTCCTTCTTTATTAGAAAATGCTCTTGGGAATCAGAATATTTATGAATGTTTGATGTGTTTAGAAAACGTGAATATTCAGCTTCAAGTCTGTGCATGCAATGTTCTATTATGTACAGACTGAGCACTGCTCAATGAGGAGTGCTGTTCTGCCCACCTGGTGATGAACTGATGTGGAGGTTGCAGTGGCTGTTTCTGGAAGCTCTGCCATGTGTGGTGGCTGGCCTACCTCTGTCATGGTCTTCCAATTTCCCCTACCCTACCAGCCCACATGCAAGTGCAACTCTTGCACTTTTCCAGACAGGTAAAGCCAATTTGGCTTCATGCTGGAGAGGTAAAGAAATGCAAACTGAACTACCATCAACTTGTGGGAGAATGAAAGGGGCCCAGTACTGCCCACTTTCAATCTTGGGGCTGCTAGTGGCTGTGTCAACGGGTGGAGGAAGGCCTGGGCCTGGGCCTCCTTTTCTGGCATGGCATTGGATCTGGAGGTGGTATCGACGGTTCTGCTGGAAGGAACGGGAGGGGAAAGAAGGAATGGGTTCCTGCTGCAGGATTCCTGTGCCAACAAACTTGCAGTGCTTTGGCCCCTCTGGGCCTCTACACTATCAAAAGGGAAGCTCGTGCAGGCTGGGCTGCTATAGCAAGTCAGGAGGCCACATCCCAGCAGAGGCCAGGAACCTCTGGGAACAGGCAGCCCTTTTGGCCAAAGCCAGGTACTCAGCCATCTAGTAGTGTGTGAGCCACTGTGCTCAAGGCATGAGACAGAATGCTGCTGGAACTCTGAGGACACCCAGGAAGGAGGCTGCCACCCATCAGCCAAGGCTAGAGGTGCTGGGAGTGGGGTCTTGCACTCAAGGACTGCTGCACCTTCAGATTTGCCCTCCTAACCTCTTAACTGGGGTCAGCCTGGCCTTGGGCTGCTGGTGAGACATGTCGTCACCCACCGTTCTCTCCCTCACCCCCAAGAAGAGCCTGAGGATAAAGAAGGGGTACATTGTGTGCATGCAGTATGTGAGGATAGAAGGGAGACCAAGGGACAGAAAATGTTTGTCCAGAGTAGTTCCAGATGAAGCAATCATTTGAAGATTTACCTGGCGAAACTTTGTGGTATGAATGGCAGAGTCCCCCAGAGCCTCATGGAGCAGCCTAGCACAGACTATGGGGACAGCCATACTGCCTTCTAGTGTGAGCTGTGACCCTGAAAGCTTGGTCTATGACAGGCCTTCTTGACCCAAGCTGTGCCCAGACTTCTCTCTTACCCTGGGCAAGGCTGATATAAGCCCTGTTACTTAGTTTTCACACTGCCATCCTTGTGCCTTGTCTGCCTCTCCGAAAACCCCGGACTGTTCTCCCTGGTGCTCTGGAGCTGGGGGAATTACAGCTCATGCCTGGGACAATGAGCAAAAAGATAAGCACCAACTGAGTCCAGGCAGAGATACTGATCTGCTAAGGCAGCCAAGGGCAAGGTGTCTAGGCCAGGAGCAAGCTGGAACAGGCCTGCCAGCGGCACCACGAATGCCTTAAAACAGGGGTTCAACCCTGGAACTGCATAAGCGGTCACAGAGCATTCACTCATCAGAGTTTGACTTTAGTAATTCACAACACAACTGGACAGTCCGGCACAGGAGCACTGGTTCTGGGCTTTTGGTCCCTGTAACCCCTTCTTACCCTCAATGAAAAGATGGATTGTCCTTGGAGCTACTCCTGAGAGGATTTCTAGGTAAAAGCAGACCAAGTCAGCCACCAATCCCTCTGGTTGCCTGGCTCCAGGGCTGACCTATGAGGTAAGCAGTTGACTAGTGGGTGACTACAGACTCTCCCAGTTCAGATAAACCCTAGCCCAGGCACACTCTAAACACTGAATTCAAACAACAACCCCAGCCTAATGTCTCCAGCCTCCACGGCTTTCACAGTGCCTCTCCCTAAGGCTGTTTTAGCTCTACCATTCCATTCATGTGTCCTCATCTGCTCTAAGAGCTAGGTGGGAAAGACATTATCTCCTCCAAACTCCCTTTTATTCATATAGAGAAAGTGAGGCCCAGAGAACTTAAGTGATGCACCTGAGGTAAAACTGAGCCTATAATTGGGAGCTACTGATGCTGCCCAGTAAACCCCTGAGCCTCCCCCGTGACCAGAATTCTACCAGGCTGGCTGAGTAGCTGGAAGGGGTTCACATATCACTACCACCATTCCTTCCCCTGCTCCAGTTGTAGGCCTCCACTGTGCATGCCAGCAGTCAGTGCCCTCGTACTCCCTTGCACACGTTCCTCATTCCTCTGACAGATGTGGCTTGGTTTTCCAATTGTACAGTCCTGCACATTCAGGAGGGGAGGTGACGGCAGGTGTGGCTGCTTCTGCCTCTTAGCTGCATTTGGCCTGTCAAGAGACTTCTTGCCAACAGCTGAGAATGCCAGACACTTCCAACTCTTCCTGTCCCATGTCACAGAGGGTATAAAGAATGTCTCTAAACTCTACTTCTGTCTCCTCTGGTGCCACAGTTAACTGGCTCTTAGCAATGTTCTGCATCTGATGATTGTGAGGGGAGGTTTACCTCTATGGGTCAGTGGGTGACTCTGACAACCAACTGAGCCATCAGCTATCCTTTCCCAGTGGCTGCAAAGGGACACACCTGAGAACAGCCTGTGTGTCTTCATCAGCTTAGGCTACCATAGCAACATACCATTGACTGGGTAGCTTCAGCAACAGCATGCATTTCTCAGTTCTAAAGGCTGTGAAGTCCGAGATCAAGGCTTTGGCAAGGTAGGTTTTGTCCTGGAGCGTCTTTCCTTGGCTTGCATGCAGCCACCATCTCGCTGTGTGCTCACATGACCTCTTGCGTGCGTGTGCGTACATGTGCGCATGCATGTGCCCATGTGCATGTGCAGGGGCCTGGGGGGCACAGCAACGTTCCTAGTGTTTCTTTTTTTAAGGGCAGTAATCCCATCATGATAGTCCCACCCTAGTGACCTCATCTACCCTTAATCACCCCCATCAAAGGTGCCATCTTCAAACAAACACCCTGACACTGGGTGGTTACAGCTTCAATATATGAATCTGGGGTGGGGCACAAACATTCAGTCCATAAAACCATGGTAGAGATCATACTTCCTAAGGCATCTCAGGCTCCTCCTGTGGTGTGAGGCCTAATGTGCCTCCTTTATTTTAACTTGCCACTAGAGACTGGGGTTTCCCTTGCTTTTTCCCAGCAATGGTTCATTACCTTAAGAAAGGCACACAATGACCCCTGGTTTGGCTATCCAAGCCTCTGTCTACACCATGCAGACAACTGTGAAGATGTCCTTCTTGGTGCCTGACTAGTAAGAAAAATCATTTTCCCTCTAAGGGGTACCTCTATCCATTAAAAAGTCTACTGATGGGAGAGAAAGAACCCACATGTAAAAAGAATGGGTACACTGTCTTTTAGTGTTAAGGCTTACTTCTGAGGTAATATGTGAGGCACAAACACCATCTACCCTGAGAAGGTAGCCCCTAGGCCAACTGTTTCAAAGCTCAGTGGGCTTGTGGCTGCCCTTGTTGTCAATGAAGGAATCAGCATGCCTGATCTACACAAAGAAAGGCTACACAGCAGGCCTGGGCACATGGCTATATGTGAAGGCAGCAGTCGCTGGTCTCTGCAAATGCGGCATGGAGCCGAGGTGTGAACCAGAGACAGGGGAGCAGGATCCTCAAAAGGGCCTAACTGTAGGAAATGAGCCCTTCACCAGGGACTTTGGCACAGTCGGGTTCCAAACATCACTCATCAACTCACAAAGCTCCAGTGAATGTAAACGTTTATTAAGCAAGGAAGCCATAATTATTTAAGCTCTTAAGTGCTTCCATTGAGCTGATTTCAGGTTCCCTTAGTTGGAGTCCCATTCTGTCTGGGCTTCTCCAGCAAGACTATGGAGGGAAGGCAGGGCTTGATCATCAGGGTCAAGACTTCAGAATTCTTGTGGCTAAGACAAAACAGCCTCTAGATTTACTAGATTAAAAAGGACTCTGGCATTTTTTTTTGGTTTTTTCTTTGTGTTGAAAAATTTGAGCAAACTCTCAGCAGACTACCTTCCTGTGGTGGAATGTGGATATGCAAAGCAGGACACAGGGCAGATGGGACACCAGAGCCAGCTGTGGCTGCCTGCTGGCACACCCTAGCATACTACGGATCACAGGCTGCCTCTGCAGCATAACTTCCAAGAAACAGGCTGTGCTTAATAAACAATTACAAACATAATCTATCAGGAAACAATTATTTCTCTAACCCCAACCCCTACTCCAAGGGATTTTATGCACCTTGAAGGTCCCCTGGTCATGCAGACCTCATTGGCTTGGCCCCACCCCCATTTCCCCTCATCGTTGGTCATGAAAGTACTGCTAGCGCTGCTTGTTTGAGCCATGCTGCTCCTCAGGTGTCAAGTATCTCATCTGGTCTGGCTGGTATGCAGCAGGGCCTTGGAAAGCCTGTTGACTAGGAGGTTCCTCGTCTCCTATGTCAGAAACTTGCACCTGCCAGGAAAAAGTGAAATAAGGTGGAATGTTTTACTAGAGTTCATGGGCCCATTTTTTGGTGGTGGGAGGATCCCTTTAGTTCAAATAGGCAAGCTGCTGAGAAATACCTCTTTGGAACATGAGCCTTCAAGGTGATGGTAGGCGGGAGAGCTGGAGAAGATGACGTTCATCTGCTCCTCTCTCTCCCAACAGCATCTTGGCTTAAAGAGCAGCAGAAGCAGACCCAGACTTTCTCAAAGTTGCCTTAAAGCTCCTGGATCTGTGTCTGGCCTTCCCTTTTCCAGCTTCTCTGCCAGCCATGGCCAGCCAAGGCCACTAGTCTTGGGCCTTGGACTCAGTGATTTCCATGCTGACTCTGATTTGCAGCTAATTGGCCCACTTTAACAAAATGGCAGGAGAGGTACCAATCCACACTGGAGTGTGGAGGAGGGAGGAAGAATGGATACAAAGATGGTGTTACAAAGTGTTGGCTGTGGAGGTCTTTTCTGGTTAGGGAGGAGGGATTCCTTGGGTTATGTTGCAAGGTGATGCAAGATTTCAGTGAGTGAGACTCAAGGGGGTGGAGAGGACACTGGGAGCACAAGGAGCATGGCTGGGCTCTGGGCAGACAGCTGGAGGTGTCTGGGGACTTGTAGGTAGAAAGGTTCCAGAAGGCAGTAGGGATAAACCAGGGCAGGGTAGTGAGGGCTGGGACGCTAAGAGGAGGAGCTTAGGCTTCATTCTGAGGATAGCAGTGAGCCCTTGAGGATTTGTGGCCAGGGAAGCTCTGACATGGTCCTGCCCTTGGCTCTTCCACTGCTTTCTTCCAGCTGAGCAACCTTGCAGAATCTGACCTTCCCCACTTCCCTGGGCTATGTGCTCAGCCTTGTGCTGGTTTGGCCTCTCAGAATCCCCTCTAGGAGGGAAAGTGCCTCAAAAATAGGCATAAAGGCATAAAAAGTTCTCAACAAAGTCTGGCTTGGTAACGGAACCACAGGACCTATTTCCCCCTCTGATCTCTCCATGTGAGCAGTCCCTCTAAGTGACCAAGTTTCTTGCAGTACTGGTGGCACGGATGATCAAGGTGTATATGTGAAAATAATCATGCCTTTGCTTGCTTAAAATATTTAAACTCCTTTTTGCCTTAGCTTACTATTTCTTGTGGTTGTTTTGGTTTACTTTTTTGTTTGAAGAAAAAAAAGGTTAAGCTATAGTAAGATTTTTAAAGCTCCAGTGAAAACACCTTTTGTAAGTTCAGTTCATTAGTGAAATTTGTGTGTGGGGAGTCCCCACATGGCCTGCTGGGAGCAAAACCTGCTATGTAACTGCCATCTGGACCAGCTTCTATCCTGGAAACATGGCCACTGCAGATGGTCCCCAAGGTAGGCCTGCCCTTCAGAATACAGGGTACCCCATAGACGGATACCAAACACATTAAACAGAGGGGCCCTAGGTTTATTTTTAGTGCAAGGAAACATACTTACACTAGGTCCTAGATTTTGTAGCAGAACTAAAGATCCATAAATCTGGCAAGAGGCTTGGGATCAGACAATGAGCTCAGATTCAAAAAATGGCATGGCTCACTTTGCCCATGTAACATACTTTTGAGAGAAGTTTCAGTCAGATTGCATCCAAGATCCACTAGGCCGGTTCACTTTTTTGAGGAACCTTGCAGAGAATACTTTTACTCAGCAATGAGTGCTACCGTCATGTGAGTAACTGCCCTCAAGTGTATTCAGCTTTGAAGTCTGGCTCTCACACACAGCATGCTCTTGGGGTGTGTGTTATGAGGAAAGGGCCCAGAATCCCTGTTGACCTGTGCTGGAGGGAAAAGGAGAAGGCTGTAGCATACCTGACGGTAGATGGGTTGGCTGTGCATGGTGCCCTGCTCATCGCAAGTCCAAGTATTCAGTTGGATAACAACTTGATCGCATGGATCAGACAGCTGTTCCCAAATATGGACGTAATCCTGTGGGATCTCCACGGTGCTTATGGTTGAGTCTGAACTTATGGGAGTAATGCTGGAAGAAGAAATCGCCCCAGAGTTTGGGGTATCTACCAATGGCAGGTGGCTCATAGTGGGCTCCTGATTCTCCTCAGGATGAAAACTGTAAGAGAAATAATCTGTTGCAGTGACATGGATCTGGACATAACCAATGAGACACCCACATGGTCATCAGTAGGTGCTTCAGGCACATTTGGTTTGTAGCCACACCACAGGATTTACTTGTTTGTATTCTCACTTTGGGCTGACTAAGACTCAACTTATCAAAGGAAAGTGAATGTAGACACTGAAAGAAATTACAATCCCTTGTCTCAAATGGTTTTATTTAAATTACTTGGACAGTCTTGGTTCTGCCACAGCTATGCTCTCTGTGGCCTTGGGCAAGTCATGTCATCTACCTTGAAAGAACTCAGGAAGCTAGTGGCTGAGCAGAGACTGTAAGACAGATTTCCAAACTCCAAATCCAGTGCTCTCTACACAACCCTAAGCCTGGAAGTCTTGTGATCAATATAGATTTTTGAGCCCCATCCAGGCTCTGAATCTATACTTTCCACACCCTCCTCAGGTGGATTCTGATGATCAGGTCAGGTGGGCAATATGGCCCTAAAGCAGTCTACATGTCAAAGTCACTGATTCTAAATAAAAGCCCAGAAGGAAGTCCGGAGAGCTTTGGGAGACCCGTCTCAGAAACCTAGTATTCATTCAAAACTATTTAGTGGGCCCCCGCTATGTGCTAAGCAATCCTTTCATTGCTGAGCAGAACCTTCTCTTTCTAGCACTTGAAGCTGAAGACCTTATTATCGAGCAGAAATGTGTTTGTGTCCTTATACTCCCACTCAGGACTCAACCTTCATGTGTTCTTGGCTGATCTCAGCAATTTAGCAATTGTTTCACTCTCACTTCCCTCCTACTTTTCATAAATGCTATGGAGATACCTGCACTTGGTCTAGTGGAATCACCAGATTCCAGGAAAGTTAGAGAATGAAACTGGAAGCCCAGAAGTTATTCAGCTTTGGACACAAAAGACTTGTCCATAGATGCCCTGTGCAACAGACCGGGCTTGGGGAATCCAACAAAGTGATTTCAAGGTTTGTGGGCTAATTCCCTAGCATTGAGGCTTCCTTATCTAGTCCTTTCTTCATGGGCACCCCTTTGTTCCATCAATGGATGCTTAGCCATGTGCTACACATGCAGAGGCATTGATGGCAGTAGCCACAGAGAAGATAAGTTGAGAGCAAGCTGCTGTTGATGAGAGGGCTGCTGGTGTCACATGGACAGGTCATTTGTCTGTGGTCTCAGGCATGGGATCCAGCCATGAGGGAAAAGCAATGATCACAGCACCTATCACCATTCCATGCATGTCTTACCTTTGACTCTCATCTTCTTGTTGCCCAGAGTTTCCATCTTGATAGCCAGAGAGCTGTTGTTCAGCTACTATCTGGATAGGAACAACAATGGGTTGAGTCTGCAAAAATCTAACAGGGTTATTGCAGAGGGGCTCAGTTACACCACTTGGGTTTTGCAGGCATATCTGCAGCGTATGATTCCCCACGATGACATTACGCTTCAGTGGCTGCTCTTGCAGCTGCTGCTTCTGCTGGCCCTTCTTTGTCCCTTTCTGCAGCATCTGCCACTTCTTCTGTTCCTGCAGCTTATTTTTTCTCTGCTGCCTCTGCTCCTGCAGCTTCTTCTTCTCCTGCATCTTGTGCTCCTGTAGCTTCTTCTTCTCCTGCATCTTCTTTTGCTTCTGCACTTTCCTTTGCTCCCTCAGCTGCTGCAGCCGCTTTCGTAGCTGCCGCTGCTGCTCCTTCAGACGTTGTTCTTGCTGTGCCAGTTGCTGCTGTATCAAAAGGCAAGAGATAAAAGGACCCTGGTGTCTGCAAGAGCCTACCAGAAATTTATTTAACACTCCTATTCAATTTTCGCAAAGCAAAAGGCAACAACAGTTGAGCCTCTCTGCACATACTGTGACTGTCTACTTGTTAGACTGGATACTAGTTGCAGCCATACACCTGGCAGCGAGAGTCTGCTAATCTAGCACATATGTACATGTATGTATACATGGTCTAGCATGTGCATTCAGGTCTAGGTAGCCCAGGATTTTTTACTATCTTGGGCAAATAAATTGCAGCCAACTGGATAGCCTCTACCCCTTAAGGAGAAACAGGTGAGTCAAAGTCCTCAAGAAAACAAAATCCCCTTTCAGACACACAGTTAAAACAGCATTTCCATACCTGGGTAAAGGCAGCACAAGGTTCCTGAAGCTTCCTAGTGTTTTTGAGAGAGTTGTATAAAGATAAATCACAGAGTCGCTTGATCTCCTTGGGATGTGGGAGAGACCGCTTCACTTGCCCAGTGTGTTGTTTCTGCTGTTTCATGGACACTGCCTCCAAAGGTTGATGATCAAGACTGACAATGTGGTGTGATGTGTTTGGCTGCTTCTGTAAGGACACAGTATCACAAAGGTCTTATTCACAGTCCACACTTTCCTTAGCGCACAAGACAAGCTGGGCATGGAGCAGGACTGCCCATAGGCAAGCCTGCAGGAAGCCTTGGCTATATGGAAGTCACACCTACCATTGCCAAGGCCTGGCTGGGCCAATCTCAGCTCTTGTAGTCAAGAGCAAAAGGGAAAAACTCTAAGTTCCCACTGGAGATCACTTTAGATATCCCATGTCACCCTGTGGGCAGCAGCTGTCACTAACTGCAGGCCCTATTGACTAACTCCTTAAGGCCTCCCAAGGTCCCTCTCTCCTCTTCCATCTGCCACTTATATAGAACGGTCTCTGACCTGAAACCTAGCAGCCTGACGTGTCTGAAACCGATTCATCATCACTTCCAGTGCATCCTGCTGGTTTTGGATGGTATCATGCAGCATCTGAGTCCTCTTTTCAAGTTGCTCCTTCAACTTCTTTATCAGGTCCAGTTCCTGGCTAATGATGCTGTATACAACTGGTGATAACAGCTGCGATGGCTGTGGGTAGGAATTACTTATGGTTCATGTACAGGGACAGTGGTTTCTCCAAGTCTTACCATAGTGTTTCACTTCAAAATTTCTGAAAGACTGAGAATGCAAATGGTAGCACTCAAATCCTGATTTCATTCATTACTAGAAAGTTTGAAAACATGGTTAGAGAATTTGGGACTTCTAGATAAGAAATGGACCATGCAGATCATTTAACCTGATTCTTTTCCCAAAAAGAAAGATGTAGAATTGGCCCAGAGACATTAAACGACCTGCCTAAAGTCCTTAGTGGAAAAGTCACAGGCCAGTGCCAAAGTATTCTACCCCTAGGTCAAATCACAAATGACAGTCCACCAATAGGGTCCCTGCTAGCAATGCAATAATGAAAATCATCAATTGGCACTTCCTCTGTTCCAGGCACTCTTCTAAGCACTGTATGAAAACTCACAGGTCTGATCTTCACAGAGCCCTGAAAAGTAGATACTGTCATTGTTCTCATGAACAATTACAGTACTTAGGTGGACTCTTCTGTAGGTCCTGGAAATCTAATTTTAACTTGGATAACAGCCTCACATCTAGAAGGAAGCAAACATACAGGTTTATAAAAGTAGAGAGTGTGTTACAGGGCAAATGATGCTCCATATTGACTGGAACAGAAGGAGTAAGGCAGGTGACATATGGAGGAGAAGCCAGAGTTTTGTACAGGTTCAGGCAGCCAAGGAACTCAGATTTTATTCATTTGCCACGTGGCACTGCTGCTAGAAGGTGTGTTCTTATCAGGGATGTAACATGCTCAGGTCTCAGTTGTAAAACATCCCTTCTGGTACCCGTGCAGAAGATGAAGTGGTGGGACAAAGGAAGCTTGGAGTTTGGGACAAGTCAATTATAAGGCTGTAGGAGTAATTCAAGGTAGAGATAACAGGGGCGTGGAACAAACTAGAGGTAGATGATATAAAAAGGAAAGGACACCATTTGAGAGAAATTAAGAAAACAGCAAACGCTGGTGAGGATGTGGAGAAAGGAGAATACTCATATACTGTTGGTAGGAATGTATTTGTACAGCCACTATGGAAAACAGTATGGCGATTCCTCATGTAACTAAAAATACAGCTACCATATGATCCAGCAAATCCCACTGTTGGGTATACACCAGAAGAAAGGAAATCTAGATCAAAAAGATACCTGCACCCCCATGTTCATGCAGTACTATTCACAATAGCCAAAATTTGAAATTAGCCCAACAGACAAATGGCTAAAGAAAATGTGTTACCCTGATTACCCTGATTGGATCATTAAGTATTGTATACATGTATTCAAATATCACATTACCTCCAAAACCATGTACAACTATATCAAAAATAAACAAACAAAATTCTAAGAAAAAGATTAACATCCACAATATCTTAAAGTAAAATGAAGTTTGAAAAGCAATAATAAAAAAGAAACTGAGCTGGGTGTGACGGCTTGCATCTGTAATCCCAGTTACTCAGGAGGCTGATGTGGGAGAACTGCTTGAGGCACGAAACCAGCCTGGACAACAAAACAAGAACCCTGTCTCTTGAAAAACAAACACAAAAAAGGTGGATAGGACTTCTCAGCTGATTGGCTGAGAGGGACAGAAAAGAGATGAGATCCTTGGAAAGGAACTATCTTTCAAGGCTGGAAGTAGGGCCTGGGAACAATTGCTATTTGCCCTGAACTGTGCTGTATACCATGCCCATAAACAAGGTCAGAGAGCCACAGTCCTGATCCATAAAGAATTTACAATATTAAAATAAGAAAAAGGTCCACACACTTGCAACTTCTAGAAACCAAAAATAGACTTATACTGTGGTCCATCAATAACCTTTACGAGTAATATAAGTACATAGATGAGTTGAGAGAAAGAGAGAGAATACCCTGCAAGTTGTTTTCTCATCATTTGGAATAAAAATTATATATGTATTTTTAGTCCATTGAAAATTGTTCAAATTGTCCCTCTTTCTCTATGTATTATATGTCTCTTCCTATAAGAAAGCAGACATTCACTAGACCAAAAAAAAACCCAATACACACACACACACACACACACACACACACACACCCCTCTAAACTTAGGACTGGAAGAAACAAACTTTACAGGTTATCACATCCTCTCACCCTCTCCAAGTAGGAATCTTCTCTTTGCTGTTCCTGGAAAATGGACTGCCAAACATTGGCTCTAACCTTTCCACTGAATTACAGGAGACTTGCTATTTTGAGAGGTGACCTAATCTATCTGAGAAGGGCTAATAGTGCCAGACTGCTTCCTTGATCCTCTGGAACCACATCTTCCACCTTATGACCCTTTAACTATTTGTATAAAGCTGTCCTGTCCCTCACCATTATTCCCTTCTCTAGTGTCTTCAGCAACTGATTAAGATGTTTTCCAGCCCCTTCCTCATCCTGGTCTCCAACTTCCGGATACACTCCAGGTTGTTGATACATGGCATCCAGAAATAAGCCTAATACACTAGGACACGCAGAGCCAGATGACACACTTACATTGCTGGTTGTTTTGGTGATTTTTTTTCAAAAAAGTAATACTCAAAAATTTAACTACAAGTTAATTCAAAAGAGAAGATAAACCTGTCAACAGTGAAAGGGGGGACCACAAATTTTGTCATAATAAGGACATAAATCAGGACAAAATGAATTTTCACAGAAATTTCCTTTTAAATATCTCAAAGGTTTTTCACGGCAGTCTGCAAATCCCTGCAAACCAAGACATTTCAACATGGAGAAACTGAGGCTCAGGAATTTTCCAAGGCCACACTGTTGAGGCCAAACTCAATTGTGTTCTAGCCCTTAATTATTTTCATTAGATGAGTATCCCTTTGACATTAGAAATTGAGTGACTAATCTTAGGCTCAGTGACAAACGCATGCAATTCCACATTAACTGACCATAAACTCATTAGCTTGGGTTCTAATCCTGATTTTAATAATTCTGTCTAATATAAAAGATGATTGTACAAATTGGGTAGAGGAGCTACACAGAAGTTAATCCAACCATTTTTATTTCGCTTTGCACTGTACATTGGTACTAACGTTTCAAGATTAGGTATATCTAATACTCTGAAATGCATGTTCTAACCTAATAAAAATTCCACTGGGAAAACCTAGCTTGTAGTGCAGGCAGAGGGTTGGTATGAGTAGGCCAGAAGGTTGTCTTCCCTCTAGATGGTTAGCCTGCTCTAACAGGTGGTTAAGAGCAGGGCTCTTAAAAATACCACCTTTTCTTAGTAGCTAAGCTTCCTATTTGGCTCAAACTTTCCGTCAAGTACAGTGTCCTTGGGATTTCATATTAAGAAGAGCACAGGGATTTGGTACTTAGAGAGCCTCCCACCTCCCTGTTTGTGAAGGTCCATTGAGTTATCAGCTGCATTTGAAAATCCAGTACAATAGAAATAGTGGTAGTTTTGAAAAAGTAACAAACATACCTTCTTCAAAGTGAAGCTGATCACAAGAGTGAAAATTTGGGCTTTGCAAGATTAGCTGTTTAGATAAATGTGTGAAGCAAGTGAACTGAGACTTTCAGAGGTACCTGAGCACTGGTGCCAGCAGTCTCCAGGTCCACTGAGTCCTCTGTGTCCATGGAATCCATCAGGCCTGTCTGGTCCAACAGATCCACTAGGTTCTCTGGGTCCTGCTGGCCCTTTGGGCCCTCCTTGTCCACTGAGTCCTCCTGGTCCACCGAGAACTCCAGGTCCACTGGCTCTGCCTTGTACAACGGATTCACCTCAGGCTCAAATTGAAAACCTTGCAAGGATAATAATGTTGAGGAAGAAAGCACAGGTGAGTTCAGGACTTAAAAGCAAAAGTATTAATGCTATCAAAAAGACTGGATAAGAGAGTCATTTTACTCCATGTTAAGGATGAGGTGTGCCAGGTGCCAGGAATCATTCAGAATATTATTTTAAAAATCTGTTCATATTTGAAAATGAAGAACAGGGAGAGAGTGAAGTTACCACTGCCTGTTCTCCACCTTAAGCTAGTGCTTAAACCCACTGCAGTTGTTAGTGTCATTTCATTCATTATAAAATTATTTTGGCTCTGCTTCTGGAGATTTGGTATCATCCAACTGATAAAACCAAATTAATCTAGTCATAAATGACTTCTGAACAATTGGGTTACCCAGAATGTGGGACCTCAGGAGTGCTCAAAGTGCTCTGGGAGGTGTTATGACATGACTTGGTTTCAGGAGCCCTGAAAAGCACAGTGGAAAACATTATTTCAATAATGTAAAATGGTACAGTCATTTTGGAAAACATTTTGTCAGTTTCTAATAAAGTTAAACACATACTTCCCAAATGACCCAGCAGTCCTACACCCAGAAGTTGAAAACGTATATGCACACAACACGAAAACTTCTATGCAAAGGTTTAAAGTAGTTTATTCACGATCAAAAAACACTTGGAAACAACCCAGATGTTCTTTTACTGGTGAATGAAGTTTTAAAACCTGGTATATTCATAAGATGTCATACTACTCAGCAATAAAAGGGAATGAATCATTGATTTATGGAACCATGGATGAATCCTAAATGCATTTTGCTAAGTGAAAGGAGCTAGGCCAAAAAGCCTAGATATCATATGATTCGTCTTACATGACATTCTGGAAAAGGGAAACCTGCAGAGGTGAAACACCTCAATGGTTGTCAGGGGATGGGAAACCAAGATTCAGTACAAAGAAGGAGCACAAAGTAATGTTGGGGATGATGGAACTATTCTGTTTGGTACTGTGGTGATGGATACATGACTCTTACCATTTGTCAAAATCAATAGAACTATATATCACAAATAGTGAATTTTGTTGTACATAAATTGAAAATGAATTGATCAGGAGGTGGGAAAACCCAGGTGAAAACGCAGCCTGTAATAAATGAATCTACTTCTATTACAAATAAATGGCATATCCACAGTGACGGGGTGAAAAATAAAGAAGCTGACGTAGCAACTTTGGAAAACAGAGGTTTGCCCAGATGCTGCAAGGTTAAAGACAACAACAACAACAACAATAACAACAACCGCCACCTGCACACTCAAACTAATTCTCAAACTTATTCCAAATGGTAAATTTGTTTCTTAAGGGATACAGGTTAGCAATTGTGAAACTACTTTTTATGAACGTTTATGCATTGAAAAAAAAATCAATAAACATATGATAGATAAGAGCCAGGTTTATCACTGTCTGAGATACAAATTACAAATAAACACACAGAAAAGTGTAGAATGAACCCTATGGTAATGGACTGGAGTAGGAGATATCAATGAACTCCTGTTGTTGTTGTTGCTTTTGTTTGTTACATGCTGAAATAAATACAGATGGGTGTTTATGCTTGCACAGGTTAGTATGAATAGACATCTTTCCTGGCATTGTCCACTGAGAGGGCTTGGAAATGGTGACACATCTGTAACAATGAGTGCAACTACCACCCAGATCTTCATTTCTAAATACCACTCTCCAAATAAAGGACCTAAGTAAGGTTCCTTAAAGAAGGGATTGTTTTCAACAACTTGCAATAATGGAAATAAGTAAGTGAAGGGAAAAAAAAGACGTAGACATGGTAAAAGGACAAGGGAGCCAACCTAAAAGAGCCCCATGAGTGAGCCAAAGTTGAGACAATTTTTTAAAATGATGGTATTGAATTACAAACCAAATAATTAAAAAATGCCCACGAGATCATCCTGATGTAAATGAATGAATGAATAAATGAATGAAAGAGAGACAAGAAACAGCTCTTTAGTACAGCAAGATTGCAGTTTCTAAATACATAAGGAATGAGGGAAATAAAAAAATTGGCACTAGAACACCACAGGAGTAACTGCTGCAGGCCAATTCCACTGATGATGCTACAATGTGAAGGAGAGTTTAAGGAGAAACAGGAAACATTATTTGTATGTTATCAGTGTACCTCTCCTCAAATATTTGGTAAGTACAAAGGGGAAAACAGTACCACCTTAACCAGGCAATCAAGTTAACACCACCAGCAATGAAATATTCCATCACGTATATTCTGATATGATGCACTAAGGAGGGCACATCACATCTGTTGTATTCTTTCTCAAAGTGCAAGACCTCAATCTCATCTTGAAAAATCATCAGACGAGTCCAAATTGAGGGACATTCTACCAAATACCTGGCCCATGTTCTTCAAAAGTATCAGATTAAAAAAAAAAAAAAAGAAGCAAGACTGAGACACTGTTAAAGACTGGAGTAAACTAAAAAGACGTATTGTTTAAATTCAATGAGGGATCCTGGGTTAGTTATCAGGACAGAAAAAAAAAAAAAAAAAAAACCTTTCTGGGAAAACTGAATAAAGGCTGAATCTCACTTAAAAGTTTTGCATCAATGTTAACTTCTTAGTTTTGACAGTTGTACTATGGGTATGTAAAATGTTACATTAGGGGAAGCTAAACGAAGGTTATCCTAAATGGGATCTTTCGCTTATTTTTCTATTTTTTTTCTGTGTGCTATTTTTGCAACTCTCTTTAAGTCCAAAATTATTTCAAGATTAAAAGTTTGGAAAAGAGAAACATCTTGATTAGGCAAAGTGACCCACTCTGTCACCTCCTACCTGCTCTTTGCAGTGTGGGGTTGCATACCGTACCATGCTATGGGTGTGAACAAATTGCCCTTTAATCATAGCATGATTTTGGGATGACCATTGAAAATATTTTGGAAAATTCTGATTTCTGGATACTTCCAGTGTTTAGATCCTTGGTTAAATCTTTCTCCTTAACTCTTTTTCCACTAAAAACCATTTTCCAAATCAGTTTAGCATTTTTTAATTTTCTGATTCCAAGTAAACAAAGCTACTAAATTATCTATAAGTGACAGCGAGAAACCTATGAGCTACTTGACTTCTACCTTATGAGCCATAACGGCTAACCATCTCAGTATGCTCATTTTGTTGGAATAGTCATCTGTGGAAGGTTATAAGGATTTCTCGACCATTGGCTTAACAGTAGTAAATACAAATAATTATCTATAGCAAAGTTACAATGGTAAGTCCAGATAAATAGGTTTAAAGTAATCATTGCTCTTATAAATTTTAGAAATCACAATTATGAGTTCATGGAGTTTGGCCTCTCCTGCCAAAAATCAATTGTTTTTGAAGGATTTTTTTAAACACAGCTTTGAGATTGATAGCAACAATGGAAAAGTTGTTAACTAAGAGTTGTTAAGTGAAGATATTAAAATAGGATTTAAAAACTGAAAAAAGAGTGAAATAAAAATTAAAACAAAGCTTATTATTTCTATATATGAAGATTCCACATACTGATTATTTATGACAGGATTAATTAGGAGATATGATCTGTGTTATGCATCCACCATTTCCTTAAATTTTGTACGTTTTATACAATTATAGTTATGAAATGTCTTTCATATTGAAACTCATGAAATAAATATCACTGTTTTTTAGAGACTCACTTTCCCCTTTTATTGCCATGAAAACTCAATGACAAGAGATTTCTCTGGAATCCAAATACTGTGTCATAGCAGAATAGACTACATGAGTATAAAAAGATAAAATGCTATTCCTTCAAGGACTGAGATACAGCATCAATTTTTAGAAGATTAAAATTACATAGGAGAGCAGACCATTTCCAAGCACTTGAAACTGTGATGAAATACTTATTTTTATTATTCTCAAATCATCACCTCAAATATTTACAGGAGATGAAGAAAGTTGGACTTCACTCTGTGATTTCACACTATTATAAATACAGCGTTATATTCATGTGAAAAACTGTAATTACCCTGTAGGTGACTATTTTTCTTCTGATAGTCCCTATCCAAATGCATAAATGTACCTACCTGGAGATTCAGGAATATTATCCAGGGAAACTGTGCTGGAGCAACAAGTTGAATCAGAATCTACAGCAGTTACACGAATGTCTTGTGGTCCACGGTGCTTAACCTGTGTAATCTCAATTTGGTCCTATAAATTTCCAAAAAAGAAAGATAGGACATTGCATTTTGGAGTTAGAATAGGAAACACAGGCAGAATACAAATTGATGCATTTCACATCACAATTTCTAACACTGCTGCAATCAACTGAAAACCTAACACAAAATCATCAAATACCTCCTTAAAAATATCTCTGGAAGATAACAAGCAGAGATTATAGATGCCACAGGTATACATTGACAAACTCAATAAGAGAAACACAGTATACATAACACTAAAAACAAAGGCATCAAAAATGTTTATAGATCAAAAGGCATGGCAAAAACAATTATGGATTTCAGTGGTGTCAGTAGGATGCTGTCATGATAGTAGCCAATGATAGTAGTCATCTCATCTCCCATTCCTCATTATTAAACCCAAACACACTGGTTCACAGAGAAATGGGACAGCAGTGGGAGAGCTGCACCTTCACTGATAAGGCTATTTTCCCAGAGTTCCTGCACATGCATCCTAGGCTTAGACCAATAAAAGGCCAACTGGGGGCTGTTTAACAACCATTCCATATCTTTTGGCAGATTAAAGTTGTAAGTATTATTGGCAAAAGTACTTTTAGCAGAGAGGTGAAAAGGCCTCTAAGAGCTTCTAGTGCAATGTTATCATTTGATAGTGTCAACGAGGGTAAGGCCATATGGACAGGCAGAAGCAGAGTGAGAGAGAGAATCTATTGGCTCCAAACTCAATGCTTTCTTTCCTAAGCCTGGCTACCTTTGAGCCATTTGTTGCCTTTAACTGTGTACATATTTCTATTGAGTGATAGTTCCTTAACAACTGGGTCTTTTTTGAATAGTCTGTGGATCACTGTCTATATGAAATTTAAGTACCTGGTTTGGCAGTTAAATCTTTTACATCCCTTACAAAATATTGTGTTTGCTTTTGTTTTGGATTGGCTTAAGACACAGACCCATGCTGATTTTTCTACAAGGAATCTGTTTGTTGGATCACATCCCAGCATTTTAACTTCAGAAAATTGTGAAACCTCACTGTTCAAGTGATTATGTTTTATACTCCTTAAAATAAGTGATATGTTGTTGGAGATGTGACAATCTTTTCATTATTTATGATACTATGGTGAATTGGTATTCATTAAGAGGAGATATGACCTGCCTCTGTCCTCTTCCTTTGGTTCTTCTTCATAGCCATCTAACGATTTAATCACTACCTCTTTGTTTCCTGGATTATTTTCAATAGAAATTTATATTCTCAAATGTTAATTAAGATGTCCACTTTGGGTACTCATATGTTTTAGCTTATCAATATAAATGCAGTGAGCTTAAATTAACTTAAATGACAGCATCACACGCAGTAATGGTAATTGGCTTGGAAAAAAACAAAGCCAGTAAACTACTTTGGAAGCAAAAAGATACCAATTTAAAATGCAATTAGGAGTATGGTGAAAATGCATACATGGGGATAGGAAGATAATCAACATGCTTTTACAGTTTTGAGTGAAATTTTAGATTCACTTTTATTCTATAATTGTCTCCATGAATAGTATCCTGAAGGATATGAAGAGAGAGACATGGGTTTTGAGGTTGGACATAGAGTAGGCTTCAAATGCAAACTTCAATATCTGATGGTTAGGTAAACTACAAATATGTAAAGGGAGAGGGGACAAGGGCATTCAAAAGTTTGTCCCCAGATCTTTGCATTTTCCCTGTGGTGGCTTAATGTTAAAAGTGCTCTGGCTAATTTTTAGGAGATCCTTGCATTTTACTTTTTTGGGGGTGGTGGGGAAATGGCCATAGGGATTCCAATCAAGACAGCAGATCGGACAGACATGGGCAAAATGCTAGATAAAATAGAGCAGAATTTTTTTTAAAAATATGCTCAGTTTAGAAATTGTCTCTGGACCTTATTTTTTCTCTACCTGCCACTACATTTATGTGATTCCCTTTATAGAAAAATATCTCAAGAGTTTTTTATACAGAATGCCTCCAATTCCACCATCCTCTTGTAAACCTACTCTCATCAGACATTATCTCCTTGAACCCCACTATACTCCACCAAAACTTTTGTCAAGTTTAGCAATGACCTACAGGTCCTGACTCTAACGGTCATTTCTCAATTGTCAACCTACCTAATCTATCAGTGGTATTTGACATTGTTCACCATTCTTTCTTCCTGGAAATACTTTCTTCACTTTGTTTACTTCCTACCTGACTAGTCACTTGTCAGTCTCTTTTGCTAGTTCCTCCTTTTTTTCACTAATCTTTTTCCTTTGAGTGTACTTCAAGGCTCAGTCCTTGGCCCTTGTTACTATCTACCTTATTGGCCATCCTCCAGGCTTACAGCTTTAAAACCATTCATGCTGATGATTCCGAAATTCAAATTTCCAGTCCAGCATTATGTCTCCAATTGGATGTCTAATGGGAATCTCAGTCATAAACATTTTCAAAACTAAGTCTCTAATATTACTCCTCCCCCAAAAGAAAACACCATTGGCTAGGCACAGTGGCTCATGCCTATAATCTCAACACTTTGAGAAGCTGAGGTGGGAGGACTGCTTGAGCCCATGAGTTTGAGGCCAGCCTGGGCAATATAGCGAGACCCCATCTCTACAAAAAAAATTTAAAATTAGCTGAGTGTGGCAGTGTGTGCCTGTAGTCCCAGCTATTTGGGAGGCTGAAGTGGGAGGATCATTTTGAGCCTGGGAAGCAGAAGTTGCAGTGAGCCCACCATGCCACTGCACTCCAGTATGGGCAAGAGAGTGAGAGACCCTGTCTCCAAAAAGAAAGAAAGAAAGAAAGAAAGAAACACCCTTAAGCTTGTGAATTCTTTCCATATTTTTTATTTTTTTCATCTTAGTTAATGCAACATTATCCTACCAGTTGCTCACATCAAGTCCCTTGAAGTCATCCCTAACTCTTCTCTTTTTCTCACACCCCTCATCAAATACCAACAGATGCAAGGGCTCTTCCTTCAAAATATTTTCAGAGGGCCGGGCATGGTGGTCCACGCCTAGAATCCCAGCACTTTGGGAGGCCCAAGTGGGTGGATCACGAGGTCAGGAGTTGCAGACAAGCAACTTAACATGGTGAAACTCTGTCTCTACTAATAATACAAAAATTAACCAGGCATGGTGGCATGCACCTGTAATCCCAGCTACTTGGGAGGCTGAGGCAGGAGAATCGCTTAAACCCGGGAGGCAGAGGTTGCAGTGAGCCAAGATTGCGCAACTGCACTCCAGCCCGGGTGACAAGAGCAAGACTCTGTCTCAAAAAAAATAATAATAATTCAGTATCTGATCACTTCTCACAACTTTTATGGTTGCTACCTGCTCCAAGCCATTATCATCTCTCATTTGGACTGCTAATAGCCTCTTAACTGGACTCCTTAGCTTCCATCCCTGCCCTTCCTCCCAGTCTATTCTCAACACTTACTCTTTTAACAAACAAGTCAGGTCCTGCCATTTTTCTGCTCAAAACTCTAATCGTTCCCCATTTCATTCAGTGTTAAAGCCAAAATCTATACAATGGCTTCCAAAGCCCTACTCAACCTGATCTCCATTACATCTATGACTTCATCAATACCTACTCTCAGCTTTGCTCACTCTGCTCCAGCTGATCTCACCTTCTTGTTATTCCTCTAAACACCGAGCATGCATCCACCTCAAAACCCTGCAGTAGTTTTTCCTCTTCTTGAAATAGTCTCCCCTGATCATAGATGTCTTCATGGCTAGCTTTCTCACTTTCTTCAAGTCTTTGCTTATACGTAATATTGTACTTCCACACCTCCTGCATTCCCAATTCTCCTCACCTTGCTCTATTTTTTCAATGCCTTGTCACCTTCTAATCAATGATTTCTTGATTTAATATTTTCATCTTGTTATCGTCTGTTTCTCACTGTTCGAATGTAAGCTTCTCTAGAGCAACAATTTTTCACTGTTTTGTTAACTGATGAATCCAACACCCAACTTATAACAGTGTTTGGTATCTGGTAGGTGTTCAATAAATCATTGTTCAATAAATCAGTAAATGAAGATATAAAAAACAAAAGGGAAACCATTCAACAAATAGAACCATATGACAAAATAGTTTTAAAAGTAGATGCCTCATTATGTAGTAAGAGACATAGATATTGAAATCAGACAGATCTGGGTTTGAATCCTGGCTCTAACACTTATTGTGTGACTTTGGGCAACTTATTCAATAGCAAGGCTCCAAGATTTACCATCTGTAAAACTGGAATGATAATGCTTTATAGGTCTGCTGTGGGAGTTAAGCACCCGGCCAAATGCACAAATAGGAAGTTCTCAATACACTTTAGTTTTCAGTATTATTATTCTTCAGGACTTACCTTCTTTGACCACTTTTTAGACATTTAAATAAGTATCTGTTGAATTAGTAAATGACTAAGTGCCTACCATAGTAGGTACAAAATCAGTGCAAGATGCTTTCACGATTATTGCCTAAAACATGTTTGCCCTGGCCTCTTGTTTGCACATAATCAGCTCTAGCAGACTGCTTCTGTGTCTGATATGCACTATGTCTCCGCTATCCCACTCAGCCCTTCGTTCATACTCAAAGACAGCTGCTTCTGAAGATCCCACCCCACCTGCCACCTCCTGGCACAATGGATTTGGGTGCAAAAGAAATCTGACAATGCACAAGCTCTAATTCTGACAAACATGCCTGTTTAGCATAACATGGCTAAGGAGCAACCTATTTCTAGGGATGGATGGCAGAATGTAAGTGGCTAGTAACGTAAGTTCCCTACACTCATCATTAAGAGAAGTATTTGGGTCAGAGTCAATTAAAAAGGATTTTCTTTGGACTGGCATCAGTGTTTTTACATTAGCCATTTCTGTCCAAATGGTGAGGTGGTAGTTTTGTGAAAGGAACTTTATATCCAATACAAACACCTTGTTTTAAATACCTTGTCAATTAACATCCGTTTTCAGTAGAACATGCTTCTTTGAATACAGGGTTGCCTAGAACAACAGCTGATGGACCAGACTATGATGCTTCCTG